AGTCTCATAACACTCACAAGATTTCATACGTATTGTCCCACGTTAGTCCGGTTGATTGAAGTGTTTTAAGAACCTCTCGCTGGTATTTAAGGAATATTTCCGTAACATTTATATTTTGAACTATCCACTGATTTTTAAAGACAATATTTGATAATAAGAAATAAGACAGGCAACAATAAGAAATCAAAGTTTTAACCTCATACCTCATTTTTTGGCTCCTGTCTCAAATTCCTAATAAATGACTCAAGTATGTTCTCATCGATCTTTATTTGTTTTTTATGGGATCGGTGTTTTTTTAGTAACCGTTCACTGGGCTCTGTTTTTTCACAAAAACTCCTTTTAGGTGACACGTTTTCCTTGTCTCCGCAGAATCCCTATAATATTATGTGAAAAGCATAATGAGTAAAGATCCTTCATCATAAAGAAGGAACATAGCCGATTCCTCCTCCAGAATCAGCAGACTTTAATCAAAGAACCCATAGCGAATCCATAGAGATGCCCGACACGGCACTAATGTGACTGGAACGCTCTTCCCCATAACCGCAGAAAACAGGGCGTAGCATTCACTATGCTCACTATGCTCACTATGCTCGTTAACGTTTTCACATTCCTGAGAACGTGTAAAAACACTAACCTTTAATATTGCTGATATTTTCCGTCCCTCCTTCGACTTCGGTTTTAAATTCTCATTCAAAATTTTTAGTTCTATCACAAATTTACTACTTATCGTTTGCTTTGACGCGTCGGGGTGCTTTTCATGGAAAAATTGACTAAAAGTATCCAACTTCCAATGCGTTTGGGGTTTCTTCCAATACTCGGAAAATCGGACTTTGCTTAAGACTTCTTCGTTCATAGTGGAATAAAAGTACAAAGAAAAAAAATAATAGATAGGAAGGACCAAAAAAAAAACGCGTGTGGGGAAATCTTAAATAACTACATGATGTCCTTGACACTATATATACGTCTGATTTTAAAGCCAGATATTAGAACTGTAAGAAGTCCGATAAATTTGTGACTATCTTTTATTAAACTAATATATTATATATATTATGAAGTTAATGGGAAACGACATGAAAGAAGTTATAACATTTTATCATTGGGAAATTATCCTTCAAATGTAAAGTATGCACAACGTGGTAAAAAAAATTCTGTTGTTTATAAAATCTAATTATTTACCTAATAGAAAAATTAAATATTCAATTGAATGGAAAGACAATAATATATCCAAGATTATTTCAAATATTCAGGTGTAGCAAATGAATTTTATAAGATAATAGAAATAAGTTAGTTTAAAAGTTTCAGGAGTTTTATTATTTAGCTTTAATCAGCATCACAGCAAAATACAGTGCGAAACCTCTATAATCGACAATTTAATAGGCGTGACAAAATTTTGTAAAAAAAAAAAAAATTAAATTA